CAATATTGCCAATGGAACAAAACATACTTTATTTGGAAGGTACACGAAAGCAAATACAGCAGTTTTCTTTTAACATTTTTTTCTGCAACTTAATCTTTTCGAAATTTTAACTGAAATTAAATAATGCATTAATCTTTTTTATTTTATGATATGCAACTAAATGAAGTCTTTAAGGTAGTTCAGGAGTATAGAAAAAAAATGACAAAATTTTCTTATACTTTGCCAAAATGAAGATTTTACTATGCTTTTTTCCAAAAAAATAATAAAAAGTATGGGTCACCGCGCGATTTTTCAAAGTACGAGTCGTTCAAAATTGCCAAAATTTGATTAGATTGTTCATGATAAAACACATTTTTGTGCATAAAAGGAAATCTATGAATCAGAATTTTGAAATAAAGTATGAGAAGATAGGCTTTATAATACATTTTAAGAAAATAAAAAGAAAAAATCGTGTCACCGAACTTGTTTTCTTGCTACAAGTAAAAAATGAAAATTTCCTTATATGTCCAGTATAAATTTTGTACTAAAAGAGTTATCTTCCCTTAAATGGCTTATTTGAAAAATTAATTTTAAAAACACAAATATTTGGTATTTGTTAAAACATGTTCGATAATGCAATGAATAACTAAGTTTTCCTTATATAAATATACAGTGTAACCAATAAATTGCAAATCTATCTTCAAATTTTCAGATTTGGGCAAAGAACTAGACCGATTATTTACTGTGATGGTACAATTCAAGATGGCGGTATACCCCTGAACTACCTTAAAATAATGGAAACTTTGTATTTGAAAACACTTGCCGACCATGCAAGGGCTGTATAGCCAGTCAAGGTCGTTAAAAACTTCCATATATATATTGAAAGCACAAAAAATTGTCGAAAAAAATTCTGAAAACATTATGTCGTTAATTTAGAAATCTATATAATTTTTCTATGATTATTGTTGAAACATGTACACAAAAAAATCCGTTTGATTGATATAATATAACCATATGATGACTGACTTTGTAATTGGTTAACTTTCAACCATAGAAACGCAGTGACTGATCCTATTTTTATATTACACCATTAAAATTGTATGTATCCACAACATATCATTTTTTTTTTTAAATTATACTGTACCTTGACCTTAAATGTATTTTAAAGTGCAATGGTAGCTATAAATGTATATTAAATTATATATTTATATTTCAGTGTGCTGTATTGCAATCATTAGGGTATGAGGTTGCCGCTATCGCCGCAAAGGAGAGCGAGTCATCGCAACTGTTTGGGACCCCAAGAGGCTTGGAATTCATCCAAGACGTGAAATTACAAAAGGAATTCCGAGAATCTGTATTCAGTTAGTAATAATGAGTTAAATATTATAAGATTATACTTCATGTTTTTTTCAATGGACGACCGGAGAATCAAGATATTCATACAACGTACTTGTAATTCAAAAACCTTTTAAAATACAGCCTACAATATAAGTCCTATTCTTGCCTCCATTCAGTCACGTATATGATAAGAATTATTTTAAGCACATACACATATACCCTGTAAATTTCTAGGAACCAAAGAGTATAAATTTACACTTAATTTTCATGGTGTTTGACACATTTTACATGACAACATCATGACGAAAAAGATTAAGCAGAAATATAACACTTTACAGAATAAAAAAGAGTGAGAAATTCGAATGTTGACAAAATTAGGAGGTGAATATATGTTCCAGATGAATAAGCAATTCGTGCTTCAATATTGGAACCCGTCAAGTCGCTCGTTGCATATAAAGAAGCTGCAATAACTCACATTTGGTAATGCAACAATAAATGAAAAGATGAAGGGAAGTGTACTCGAAAATGTTTTATATTTGTTTTACTATATTTTTAAGGACACATTGTGTATGTTGGAGATAGTATAACATGCAAAGAGACCAAAAAAGAACTAACTGAAAAAGTTAAAAAAATTTTCAATTCGTGTTGGGGTACTAAGTCTATTAAAATATGTCGAAAAAAATACGAAATAAAAGAAACATGCAAACTTAAAAAAAAACATCTTAGGGACAACTTAATTTTCTAAATGATTTTTAAAAAGTCCTTTATTTACCAGTTGATCTTATAGCAAAAATTATCCCTTCTCACTTAAAAAAAAATAATGTGTAAAAGCTACACTGTAATTTGGGATGGGCGTTTATGTCTTTTCCCTAAAGTAAGCACAGTTATGAACAATTTTTTTTTTATAATTTTAAGAACACGTAAGGAATACATTCGAAATATTTTATTTTGCGAAAATGTTAATCAACTTGTTCATATCAAACACGCTGTAAATTATGAGTACTTTTTTTATCACAATTTCTATATGATGTATAGTTTAGAAACTAAAACAGTAGAATATATCAGATTTAGAGAGTCTATTAAATGATAAAACTGCCGTATATCTTTGGATGGTCAACAAACATGTTGATTTATGAGAAACGATTGGATAATTCCTTTTTGGAATTATTGCCCTTAACTGATAAGGGGAACTTCTCTTAGGCGGAACAGACAGCCTATGTTTACGAAAGAATAATAAAAAGACAGACGCAGCAGGCAAACTACAATATGTACTAGATTTACAAAACGCTGCAGACATATCGATCAATTGAATGTTAAAGTAAATGCTGATTACTGGTTATTAAATATATGTTTACATAGATATAAGAAGATGTGGTATGAGTGCCAATGAGACAACTCTCCATCCAAGTCAAAAAATATAAAAGTAAACCATTATAGGTAACAGTACGGTCTTCAACACGGAGCCTTGGCTCACACCGAACAGTAAGCTATAAAGGGCCCCAAAAAATTACTAGTGTAAAACCATTCAAACGGGAAAACCAACGGTCTAATCTATATAAAAAACGAGAAACGAGAAACACTTATCAAACACATCAACAAACGACAACTACTGAACATCAGATTCCTGACTTAGGACAGGTGCAAACAAATGCAGCGGGTTTAAACGTTTTAATGGTACCAAACCTTCACCCTTTTTCTGAAACAATAGTGTAACATCACAACATAGAAAGACACACTATAAAATATCAACTGAAATAGCTTAACTCAATCAAAGGACATATTAACACCATTGAACATACACTGAACAAATAAATTTGACCTATGACACAATGTAAATACAAAATAAGTAAACCAAGGGAAGAATAATAAAAGTAACATGTTTATATATATCAAGTTAAAAAAAAAATATTGTCTTATGGCTGTCTGTGTAGTATTTTCATCTTTAAAATTCTGATTGTGACATCTTAAAATAAGAATTGGCTTATTGTAGCGATTTTTTGATAAACTGAAGTTAATTAATACTACTCCTTCTTGCAGATTTATGTGATGACATATCTCTTTTCAGCATCTGTCAGTTTGAAGAATCAGGCAGTACCCTATGGGAATATCATTAAAAACAACTCATATAGAATGGAGGGTCTGCCTGATGGTGTTATTTTCAAAGACCCTAATTCTTATGGTTTGTCTACTCTTAGGCAAATCATAAGCCAGAAAGAATCCATCAAATTTGTGTATGTATTACCCGTAGAACATGTAGAAGTAGTCACACATTTAATATTATGAAGCCACGAATATTTTTTATTTAGAAACTTGAATTGCATTTTAAGTTTTAGATTTTTCTCAATTTACAACGATTGTCTATGCTGATTTTAGTGCTAGAACAAAAGATTTGAAATAACAATATAAATGAGTTGAGTCAAACATTTAGTGCAGACACTTTCAAATGCTCCTTGAAAATACCATAACAAGTGCTAGGAATATGAAGCATCTATCGATAGTCATAGCAAGGGTATCAAGCTTTATCCTGCTTATTTTGTACCAGTGTCGATCAATTGTGAGTTTTGATAATGCAAATATTTGTAAAGAAACCGTTTATAAGATAAGATAAGATAAGATATTTTTATTCCAATTAAAGGGCCCATGACGAGCAAAAACATGTATTACAATGATTTTGATAATTGACACAATAATGTTGATATAAATCATATATAAATATGAATATAATCATCTCAATTGTAAGATGTTAAACCACAGCCAGATCAGAGCCATACACATATTAGTAAAAATATTAGTCAATTATATTTAATATTAACAGGCAAATATTCTCAATGGGTTACATACAAACATATCTGTACTATTTTGATAGTTTTCTGAGTTCAAAATAATTGTTAATATAAATTGCAATAATTGTAATAATCTCTTGAAGAAACGTGACACCAGCTTCCACACTTGCCTCATCTACAACATCATCCAAGGGTATGTATATGGGTAAACGGACAGAAAGTCACAGGACATGTATTCAATTTTAATTGTAGGAAATTGTTCATAAGCCTTGATAAATGAAATTTTTTTAAATTTAATTATTCAAAGGATTTTTTTTGACATTTTGTTTTCATAACAATTTTTTAATCATTATTGATATTTATTGAATAACTTTTAATAACAAAGTTGTGATATATACTATATTTCAAGAAAAAAAAAAAACAAATATTTATAAAATGAGTGTTTTCTTGTTCAATGAAATATAATAACAAAACGGTATTGTGACTTTTTGTCTGTGCCTTTTTGTCCTGTGACTTTTTGTCCTGTGACTTTTTGTCTGTGACTATTTGTCCGTGACTTTTTGTCTGTGACTTTTTGTCGTGTAACTTTCTGTTTGACATTCTGTAAATCTTGTATAATATATGTAAATAAGGTTTGTACAAGTAATTCGTATTTTTCGAATATCTTGAAACAAGCAGGCCATCGGATGATTTTTAGATTCAGAAAAACAATATATTAAGTTCTATGTTTTGCCAATTAGTTCATAAAAAATTTTCCTAAACATCTATATCTACCTCAATCAACCGAAATCCATCATAAAGATGAATATATTTCTATTTTTCAAAACGTTTATAATGCATGTGCTGAAATAAAATATCACTAATTTTATTTTTTGAGCTTGAGTAATTTTATATTTACAGAATTAGAAAATGGAAATATTACGGATGTCACGGATGCTCCAGCTATTCCTTTAGGTTGGTATTTTGATCCAAAGTTTGTACAATGTATGAGATTTATTATGTTATCCACTTCAAGTTAAAGCTTTTGATTAGATTAAATTATCAAGGATGAATTTGTGTTTTCTCGGTGGTTTTGTATGCATATGAAAATATGAGTTTTATAAATTGTAAAGATATACAAACGAAATAACACAAACACATATCAAAGTCTCTAAATATGCAGTAACAACTTTACGTTATAACATATTAATAAAGTACATACAATATCATAATGATATTTACACAATATTCAATTTTATATACATACACACGAGTCACGATTGTAAATGATAACCTGTACAATGTATTAACTTCACAATATTTCAGAGTCCATGAATGTATAGAATACGCTACATATATTTCATATTCTTATTCTCAAAATGTTTATACGGCTTGAGTTCATAATATGGCGCGGAATGAAGGTCAAAAATACTTATTTACGTATATACATAATTCGATTTACGCATAATTCGATTTACGTATATACAAAAATAATTACGTATATTCGTTAATCGAATTACGTATATTCGTTAATCGAATTACGTATATACAGAATGAATTCCGTATACACAGAAATCGAATTACGTATAAACAGAAATAATTCCGTATACACAGAAATCGAATTACGTACATACAGAAATAATTCCGTAAAGACAGAAATAGAATTACGTATATACAGAAATATGTTATAACAATGAATTTCATTGGCAGGTTGTATTAATGTCTAGTATACAAAAATATTAACGTATATACACGAAGAATTCCGTATATACAAAAATATTTCTTTACATACGTAATTATTTACGTATATACATAATTGTATATACGGAATTCGATTTACGTATATACGTATTTATTTCTGTATAAACAGAAATAATTATGTATATACGTAAATAAATATTTTTGACCCTGATTCCGCGCCATATACCAATACATATACATATACACTCACACATTACACTTGTATAGCAGAATTATATTTATTTTATATAGAACTGAGAGAAGTACCCATGGAGGAAGTAGCCGATGCTATAGATATTACTATAGGTTAGTTTTTTTTATCCACCATTTGTACTAAGGATGTGATGAATAAAAAAAAAAAAAATACACTGTACGATCTTTTTTTCGGTTTTGATTATTTATGTGTTTTATTTACATTTGTTAAAATCTAAACCGATTATGTATGGTATTTTTTAAATTTTAATTATCCAAAGGAATTTTTTTGACATTTTGTTTTCATAACAATTTTTTAATCATTATTGATATTTATTGAATAACTTTTAATAACAAAGTTGTGATATATATTATATTTCAAAAAAAAAACAAACAAATATTTATAAAATGAGTGTTTTCTTGTTCAATGAAAAATAATAACAAAACGGTATTGTGACTTTTTGTCCTGTGACTTTTTGTCTGTGACTATTTGTCCGTGACTTTTTGTCTGTGACTTTTTGTCGTGTAACTTTCTGTTTGACATTCTGTAAATCTTGTATAATATATGTAAATAAGGTTTGTACAAGTAATTCGTATTTTTCGAACATCTTGAAACAAGCAGGCCATCGGGTGATTTTTAGATTCAGAAAAACAATATATTAAGTTCTATGTTTTGCCAATTGGTTCATAAAATTTTTCCTAAACATCTATATCTACCTCAATCAACCGAAATCCATCATAAAGATGAATATATTTCTATTTTTCAAAACGTTTATAATGCATGTGCTGAAATAAAATATCACTGATTTTATTTTAAGCTTGAGTAATTTTATATTTACAGAATTAGAAAATGGAAATATTACGGATGTCACGGATGCTCCAGCTATTCCTTTAGGTTGGTATTTTGATCCAAAGTTTGTACAATGTATGAGATTTATTATGTTATCCACTTCAAGTTAAAGCTTTTGATTAGATTAAATTATCAAGGATGAATTTGTGTTTTCTCGGTGGTTTTGTATGCATATGAAAATATGAGTTTTATAAATTGTAAAGATATACAAACGAAATAACACAAACACATATCAAAGTCTCTAAATATGCAGTAACAACTTTACGTTATAACATATTAATAAAGTACATACAATATCATAATGATATTTACACAATATTCAATTTTATATACATACACACGAGTCACGATTGTAAATGATAACCTGTACAATGTATTAACTTCACAATATTTCAGAGTCCATGAATGTATAGAATACGCTACATATATTTCATATTCTTATTTTCAAAATGTTTATACGGCTTGAGTTCATAATATGGCGCGGAATGAAGGTCAAACATACTTATTTACGTATATACATAATTCGATTTACGCATAATTCGATTTACGTATATACAAAAATAATTACGTATATTCGTTAATCGAATTACGTATATACAGAATTAATTCCGTATACACAGAAATCGAATTACGTATAAACAGAAATAATTCCGTATACACAGAAATCGAATTACGTACATACAGAAATAATTCCGTAAAGACAGAAATCGAATTACGTATATACAGAAATATGTTATAACAATGAATTTCATTGGCAGGTTGTATTAATGTCTAGTATACAAAAATATTAACGTATATACACAAAGAATTCCGTATATACGTAAATCGAATTCCGTTTATACAATAATATTTCTTCACATACGTAATTATTTACGTATATACATAATTGTATATACGGAATTCGATTTACGTATATACGTAATTATTTCTGTATGAACAGAAATAATTATGTATATACGTAAATAAATATTTTTGACCCTGATTCCGCGCCATATACCAATACATATACATATACACTCACACATTACACTTGTATAGCAGAATTATATTTATTTTATATAGAACTGAGAGAAGTACCCATGGAGGAAGTAGCCGATGCTATAGATATTACTATAGGTTAGTTTTTTTTATCCACCATTTGTACTAAGGATGTGATGAATAAAAAAAAAAAAAATACACTGTACGATCTTTTTTTCGGTTTTGATTATTTATGTGTTTTATTTACATTTGTTAAAATCTAAACCGATTATGTATGGTATTTTTTAAATTTTAATTATCCAAAGGAATTTTTTTGACATTTTGTTTTCATAACAATTTTTTAATCATTATTGATATTTATTGAATAACTTTTAATAACAAAGTTGTGATATATATTATATTTCAAAAAAAAAAACAAACAAATATTTATAAAATGAGTGTTTTCTTGTTCAATGAAAAATAATAACAAAACGGTATTGTGACTTTTTGTCCTGTGACTTTTTGTCTGTGACTATTTGTCCGTGACTTTTTGTCTGTGACTTTTTGTCGTGTAACTTTCTGTTTGACATTCTGTAAATCTTGTATAATATATGTAAATAAGGTTTGTACAAGTAATTCGTATTTTTCGAACATCTTGAAACAAGCAGGCCATCGGATGATTTTTAGATTCAGAAAAACAATATATTAAGTTCTATGTTTTGCCAATTGGTTCATAAAATTTTTCCTAAACATCTATATCTACCTCAATCAACCGAAATCCATCATAAAGATGAATATATTTCTATTTTTCAAAACGTTTATAATGCATGTGCTGAAATAAAATATCACTGATTTTATTTTAAGCTTGAGTAATTTTATATTTACAGAATTAGAAAATGGAAATATTACGGATGTCACGGATGCTCCAGCTATTCCTTTAGGTTGGTATTTTGATCCAAAGTTTGTACAATGTATGAGATTTATTATGTTATCCACTTCAAGTTAAAGCTTTTGATTAGATTAAATTATCAAGGATGAATTTGTGTTTTCTCGGTGGTTTTGTATGCATATGAAAATATGAGTTTTATAAATTGTAAAGATATACAAACGAAATAACACAAACACATATCAAAGTCTCTAAATATGCAGTAACAACTTTACGTTATAACATATTAATAAAGTACATACAATATCATAATGATATTTACACAATATTCAATTTTATATACATACACACGAGTCACGATTGTAAATGATAACCTGTACAATGTATTAACTTCACAATATTTCAGAGTCCATGAATGTATAGAATACGCTACATATATTTCATATTCTTATTTTCAAAATGTTTATACGGCTTGAGTTCATAATATGGCGCGGAATGAAGGTCAAACATACTTATTTACGTATATACATAATTCGATTTACGCATAATTCGATTTACGTATATACAAAAATAATTACGTATATTCGTTAATCGAATTACGTATATACAGAATTAATTCCGTATACACAGAAATCGAATTACGTATAAACAGAAATAATTCCGTATACACAGAAATCGAATTACGTACATACAGAAATAATTCCGTAAAGACAGAAATCGAATTACGTATATACAGAAATATGTTATAACAATGAATTTCATTGGCAGGTTGTATTAATGTCTAGTATACAAAAATATTAACGTATATACACAAAGAATTCCGTATATACGTAAATCGAATTCCGTTTATACAATAATATTTCTTCACATACGTAATTATTTACGTATATACATAATTGTATATACGGAATTCGATTTACGTATATACGTAATTATTTCTGTATGAACAGAAATAATTATGTATATACGTAAATAAATATTTTTGACCCTGATTCCGCGCCATATACCAATACATATACATATACACTAACACATTACGCTTGTATAGCAGAATTATATTTATTTTATATAGAACTGAGAGAAGTACCCATGGAGGAAGTAGCCGATGCTATAGATATTACTATAGGTTAGTTTTTTTTTATCCACCATTTGTACTAAGGATGTGATGAATGAAAAAAAAATAAAAAATACACTGTACGATCTTTTTTTCGGTTTTGATTATTTATGTGTTTTATTTACATTTGTTTAAATCTAAACCGATTATGTATGGTATATTAATTCATTCTGCAAGAAAAGAGGAAATCCTATATTTTTTTTTTTGAAAGATTGCATGATTTAGTACAAAAACTGTATTGAAAACACTATAAAAAAGATAATACTTACATTTAGGTACAAGTGTTTACTCTTTCCATTTCAGGTGTTTCAGACACATTAGCCCATGCTGTTTCCAGTGATGCTGTAGAGGAGCATGGTGTTGAAGTACTTACAGGTTTGATTACAGTTTTTTCTGCATTATTTTGGTTTATATATATATATATATTAGGAAAATATAGCTTGTCTGCAATCATCATAAAATTTTGCATTGATTGATCGTTGATTGCTTAATGTCCAATGCCCGCGCAGTGGCGTAGCTGCCGTTAGGCACTTTAGGCAGGTGCCTACACATAAGTTTTTCACAAATTTTTTTTATTAAAAAAAAACAAAAAACAACGTTATCTGTAGACGCACGCTAGTGAAGTCGTCAAAACTCTTTAATAATCGAATGTCATGTGTACACTAGTCTATCATCCTTAGTGAATGGAGTATTGGATAGAATTGTATGTCATTATATTCCCCCTTATATAGAAACTATAAACTAGAACTTTGGTTCAGATCATTTCACTTCTATCAACAAATACTGGAATGAACCTCAACTTAGACACATGATTTTTTTTAATTAGTTGTTGTTGGCTTTCAACTAGCTTTCCACTTGTTCTTCATCCGATCTACAATAAAACTCTTGCCAAAGTTGGGCGTTCGTTCGTTCTGTGCAGGATGTATAAATACACAGTCACGTCTGGTCAGAATGGAGACGTTAAATCCGATACCTAGTGTAGAGAGAATGCCACGCTCTCTGCACGTTAAGAAACTTGCAACAACTCTTTGAGGGGTTCGTAAGTTTACTGAAAGGCAAAATTTCTGTTTCTATCCAATAAACCCTCATTTTCCAAATGCATGGCGTTTCCAATTTTCCAGACCTTCGTCCTGGATGACCCCTATTACAGGACCTAGCTACCTGTTGTATTTATTGTAAATTTGTTTTTGTCCTGAACATGCATGAACTATTTGCAACTGTATGTTTAGCAATCAATCAATCAATCAACTAGCTTTCAGTAACTTTGAGTACTCTCAGATCTACGTGTAATGACCATAATTATTCAAATTCCTAAGCAGGTAGGGATTTTATAGTACAGGATATAAGGAAATATGAATTTCTTGAATTTATTTCGATAGTATGAACAGAACAGAACTTCTGCATGAGGCATCGACTGTGTGTGTATGTGTTTGTGTAGCCAGGGGACGGTGAAGGTTTCTTTTAAATGAAGGATAGTCAATATGTACTATCAATTGACGTATATATACCAATTATCCTCAATCAGAAAGGAATAGCTATAAAAATACTATAAACAGGTTGTGCTGCTTAATAAAGGGCTACTCTTATCCACGCTGGGCAATGCATATTGTAAATATTTATTTTTAATATATTTCCAATTGTACTGCCGGCTAATTCATCAGTCAGATATAATTGTAAAATTATGTATATTATAATTTCTTCGAAATTTTTTTCATAGATATAGGAAGATGTGGTATGAGTGCCAATGAGACAACTCTCCATCCAAGTAACAATTTATAAAAGTAAACCATTATAGGTCAAGGTACGGCCTTCAACACGGAGCATTGGCTCACACCGAACAGCAAGCTATAAAGGGCCCCCAAAAATTACTAGTGTAAAACCATTCAAACGGGACATGTATATTATCATGATAAAATGACTAGTTTTCATGTTTTTTTGTCATAAAATTTGGCAACTGAAATGCTGAAACCCGTTTTCCGTCTGGGGGCTTCGCCCCCCTTAACCCCATACCAGGGCACTTCCCTGGACCCGCTGGGGGCCTTGAGCGGCCCCCAAACCCCCTGCCGCAATTTGTGCCTGCAGTTTATTGGATACCTAGCTACGCCCCTGAATGGCAAATAGTTCATGCATGTTCAGGATGAAACTTAGTACGAAGTTAGAATTTTAATGCAGCATTTGAAGTTTAATGTTAATGATTGTGTTAGATGTGATGTTTGATTATACAATAAGTTATACTAATACCTGATTTTTATTTTATGTAGATCTGAGTAACATGCACATGGAGGAAATCACAGGTGCTCCAGAGATTCCATTAGGTTAGTAATTTGATCCAAACTTTCTTTAGTTTCTTTTGTTAACTTTCTTGACATCAGACTCGGACTTCTTTTGAACTGAGTTTTACTGTGTGTATTGTTGTGTGTTTGCTTTTTCTACACTGGCTAGAGGTATAGGAGGAGGAGTGAGATCTCAAAAAACATGTTTAAACCCGCCGCATTTTTGCGCCTGTCCCAAGTCAGGAGCCTCTGGCCTTTGTTGGTCTTGTACGATTTTTAATTTTAGTTTCTTGTGTATATTTCAGAATTCATTTCGTTGCTATAACCTAAAAGTCAATTTATAGTCGTATGATTATGTTACCAAATATTTTATTATTACAATGACAGCTGGCAAACATTAATCTTTAAGTGTTTATCCTTTCATTTCAGATGTTTTAGATTCATTAGCTGCAACAATTCATGGTGATGCTGTAGAGGAGCAAACAAGTGTTATTATACCTAAAGGTTTGTTTTGCTATCTTCCTTTAATTGCTGTTTGGGCTCAACACTGTATTGGCCGGATGAATTATAAAGTGGTTGTTTTTACCTAATTGATGAAATCACTTCCTTGTTTTTTCCATCTCAGATCCCCGAATGTTCATAAATAGATAGCACAAGTTGAAGCTATTATAGAATTGTTTGGGGCATTTTTTTACAATAAGACTTAGTTATATTTTAACAAAATTTATAGAAGAGTGTACAAGATTCGTATCATTAACTGGTACAGTTTTGAACCCAACTTTTAAGTTGTGCATCTGATAAGCATCTAATATAATGGAATTGTTAAAGAAATTATTCAATTTTAAGAGAAAAAAATAGAACATTCACAGAACGATTGCACATTTTTTATATTAATGAATTGTTTGATAAGTGTGAGGGGTTTTCAAAACACTTGTAGACAATTACAATGAATTTCTTCTAAAGATATAAACAAGAAGATGTGGTATAATTGCCAATGCAACAATTCTCCACCATAGACCAAATGACACGGAGCCTATCTAAATTTGAATATGTACAAGTCATAAGACATGGTATAATGAACATTTGAGTTAATCAATTTATGAATAATATTTTGTTTATTTCATTTTTTTCCTTTATTTCAGAAGAAGAAGAGTCAAATGACATGTGCAAAGTGTCCAGTCTTCTTGCCAAAAAGAAAATTGGAAGAAAACAGTTCTTTTTGGTGCACTGGGAAGGATATGAATCTTCCGAAGCTACCTGGGAACCAAGAAAGAACATTCCAAATTATTTCATAAAATGTTTTAATAAAAATCTAACAAAAAAGTGAAAATAAACTATCTTATTGTTTAGGGCTGCATACAGTTATTTCTCCTTTTTAGTTAAGTTTTACCCTTGTCCGTCTGTACGTTCGTCCGTACGTCCCCAAATTGGTTTCCGTTCTCTAACTTTAGTTTTCCTCAACCAAATGTTATGAAACTTATACACAATGCTTATAACCACAAAACACAGATCAAGTTTGAATTTTGTGGTGTCACTTTTACCGTTCTTGAGTTATGCCACTTTACAAATGGAAAAAATGCATATTTGCGACTGTACATCAAGCAATCAACCACCAAGATTTAATGTATGTGTTGCAAATGATTATGTTTAATATAAACAACTGACAACTGACATTGACCACAAACCGTTGCCTGTACATACCGGGCTACTTAATCAATAGTTAGAGCACTGAGAAACTAGTCTAGTAAAAACTGGCAAACCCTTGTCAGTCTGTACGTACGTCCGTACGTCCCCAAATTGGTTTCCTTTCTTTAACTTTAGTTCTCCTCAACCTAATGTTTTGAAACTTATACACAATGCAACCACAAAACACAGATCAAGTTTGAATTTTGGTGGTTTCATGTTTACCGTTCTTGAGTTATGCCCCTTTACAAATGGAAAAATTGCTAAATTTTTTGTTTCCGTTCTCTTTCTTTAGTTTGTCTCAACCAAATGTTATGAAACTTATACACAATGCTCATTACTACAAAATACAGATCAAGTTTGAATTTTGGTGGTGTCACTTATACCGTTCTATAGTTATGTCCCTTTACAAATGGAAACATTGCTTAACTTTTCATTTCCATTCTCCTACTTTAGTTTGACTCAACCAAATGTTATGAAATGTATACACAATGCTTATTACCACAAAACACAGATCAAGTAGAAATTTGTGTAGCGTCACTTTTACAATTCTTGAGTTATGTCCCTTTATAACATTATATCCAAGCGGGGGCATCATATGATTGTGTCCCATGGACACATTCCTCATTTATTCGTTTTGTTCTCTAACGTAAGTTAGCCTCCAGCAAATGTTATGAAACGTATAACCAATGCTTATTACCACAAAACACAGATTAAGCACACAATTGGGTAGTGTCTCTTTTGCCGTTCTTTAGTTATGCTCATCTATAATCATATATGCAAGCAGGGTTATCATCTGTGTCCCATGGACACATATCCCATTTATCTTATCTTGTGTCTGTTTACCCATCATTAAATGTCGTAAACCTTTGTGCATAAATATTGAGGACATATTAGAGCTTAAAGTTTTATCAAGTGGACAAGTTTTCTGCCAATAACAATTGTTGGACATGTTAAATTTGGGAGAGTACTGTTTGTTTACATGTTCGTTAGTAACAGGAAACACTTATGGGAAGTCAATGATACGTGGTATGTACGTGTTCTATAATATAGTTGGAGGAGCATTTGCATCTCTCATTCTATTGATATAAGGGGGTCTGACCCCAAAAATCATTGATCAGTTTATATGCTAAATCTGATTAGTTCAGTTTGAAGGACACCAGTAATGGTAAATCAACAATATTTGGTGTGTTGTTGGCAGAATTACAACATCGCATCCATGAAAATTAGTTGGTTAACCCCCTTAGTCATGGTGGTCGTGGACAAACCCAAGTAAGAAATTAACACCTCAAAGAAACATAAATAGAACCATACAAATATAACATTCTTGCAGGTTCTCGGATACCATCTCGCATATTAAAATAACATCTTGCAGAAATGCGCCTTGTGTGATATCGATCCTCTTCCTATTTTGAGCTTTTCCTGCTATCCGAAATAAAAATTGTGGAACTTATTTTATCGGAATCATTTGGCAATATTTCCAATCTACTGTTTCTTTACGTAAATCTCTGCAGCATTGGGGCCCACTCAGCAAGCTGTGTTCCCTTAAAGGATCGTTGTTAAAAATATAAATGTATTGAATTAGAAGTTATTCCAAATGTTGAAAGAAATTTCCCGAAAGGAAAGTTGGGCATGCACAAAATTTAATTACAGGAATATACATATTATATACACGAAGCAGTCATAGAATGTTGGCCAATATATAGATTTGATATCAATAGCAGTTTTTATCTAAATAAAATTTATGAACGGTTGGTACTGATTTAAATTAGTGTCTCTTTCATAACAGTCTTGAACATTGAAACTAAATATTAGATAAAAGACACAGGTTGGCTGTCACTGTGCACCACAGTTCAACATAGAAACCTATTGGGAAAAACCAGAGAACTCTCTATGTCTGAAAACACTGTCAAACATCCTAATATACTATCCAGACTGATCTGTTTCCACACTTGTTGTTGAATAAATATGTATGTATTAAAATGTATTATTATACAATTAATACAAAATGAAACTTATTACTTGACTTTCTTATATTTTTATATATAGCCAAATGCTACTTTAAGATCATGTTATGTATAATATGTGAAATAATCAGTGTTTTGTTTTTAAGTTTTGGCGTAAATGAGATATAGCATTGTGGTGAAAATGCAAGATGACCGCTACCTAAAACAAATAATGTCACATACATTATTAAAAAAGACAACTTCTGATAAAATGGATGTGGATATGAGCAACTATACGCTACAATAGACAATATTTATTTGCACAAACAAATTAACATTAACATTACATTTACATGACGACCTATAATAATAACAAACAAAAAAATACACCACATCTTGTACGTTCATGTATTTCACATCCACTTTTTTGATGTAATATTATTTGCATAGCACAAAAATGTCGGCATTCACCGCAAAAGCTAACCAAACCTTTAAACAGACTTAATCTGAAGGGATATAGTTCCGATATTTTTGTAAAGTCATTAAGAATGGCATATTTTGGTATTAATATTGATTCACTCATATAGGGTCTTTGCATCGGAAATAAACTCAACGTATTCTCAAACCATGACACGGGTTCAAATATTTTATGATGGTATGATACTAAATCCCTAACGGGAGGGATTGTGCTTGATTCTCTGTATGAAGACATGATCTTTATATCAGTTTAATAGAGGTCTGGAGCTAGCATGTCTGTAACTGTTAGTAGTCCTTTGTTAATCTATGTATCGTTAACGTTGTCATTTTCCTTAGTTTCTTTTGTTACCTATTCTGACATCGGACTCTGAATACTTTTAAACTGAGTTTTACTGTGCGTATTGATGTGTGTTTCTTTGTTCTATATTGGTTAGATGTATAGCTGGAGGGTTGAGATCTCACAAAACATGTTTAATCCCGCCGCAAGTTTGCGCCTGTCCCATGTGAGGAGCCTCTGAACTTTGTAAGTCTTGCATTTTTTTTAGTTCATTTATATGTTTTGGAGTTTAGTATGACGTCCATTTTTACTGACTGATTTTTATTTAGGGGCCAGCTGAGGCCCACATCCGGGTGCGGGATTTTCCCGCTGCTTTGAAGACTCATTGGTGGCCTTCGGCTGTTATCTGCTCTTTGGTTGGGTTGTTGTCTTTTCTACATATTCACAATTTCCATTCTCAATTTTATTAATCAATGATAAAATATATATGACAGACAAAAAATACAATGACTGATTTATTAGTTATTTGGTATCCAACACCGAATCTACGTACGGCAGAGATAAAGCAACATAGATACCTAAAACTTGTTATGGAGTATAAGTCATTCAATCAGTAACCCAGCAATATAATACTAGTATACCATTTGACGACAATGAAGCCAACTAAGAGGCGTTCAGTTAAACACTGGTGTAGACAGAAAGACCTAAATTACACTTTACTAGATATTCTGTGTGTAATTAGTTGTCGTTTTTTTTTTAATCTAAATCAGTAGACAATTCATACAATATGTTGGTGAAATATCCCCGGTTGTTATAAAAGAACGAATTAAATATTCTTGTGTTTTCCAAAAAGTTCACCAAGTCGTTGATGGTTTTCTGTAACGAAAGAAGAAGTCTATATCAACACATAACTACACTCAATGGCAGTATCTTTCACATGTTCTGTAAACGATTAACAAATTAAATTACTCGTTTAACATACTTTATGAGCTATATAAATAAAATCAACACCGGGTGTGAACCTGAGTCGTTGCATGGTGCTTAACGGCAGTGGCGGATCCACTGACTGCATTAAGAGGGGGTACAGTTCGCTCCATTCATGCTTCAGTGATTCCTTATATAAGCAACCATAATTTTCCCACAAAAAGGAGGAGGGGGTTTGATTGGCCTTTTAACGCATGCACTTAGTCAATTAAGATATTTTCCAACAAAAAGGGGGAGGGGCCTGATTCGCTTTTGAACACATGCACTTGTAAATGCTCTTTTGTTCCGACGTTGGAAAGTTCCGGGCGGAAAGAACTAACTAGCCGAAAAGTTCCGGAGGAACTTATTAACTAGTTACTTCGTTCTTCCTCTGGTTTAAAAGTTCCACCGGAACAAAGTGACTAGTTGAAAAGTCCCAACGGAACATATCAACTAGTTAGAAAGTTCCTTTTTGCCAAATTAGTCAAAACCGAAACTAACAAACTAGCACAAAAGTTCAAACGGAACTTATCAACCAGGCAGAAAGTTCCATTTGGAGAATTGATGCAAAGTAAAAGCGCAACATATTATATTTGAACCTTTCAAAGGGAAACCAAGATACTGATTACAAAAGTCAAAAGGAACTTATCAACTAGCCACAAAGTTCCTCTTTGGCAAATAAGTCAAAACCGGAACTAACAAACTAGCCCAAAAGTTCCAACGGAACTTATCAACCAGTCACAAAGTTCCATTTGGAGAATTGATGCAAAGTAAAAGCGCAACATATTATCTTTGAACCTTTTCAAAGGGGAACAAAGATACTAGCCACAAAAGTCAAACGGAACTAATCAACTAGTCACAAAGTTCCTCTTTGTTAGGGTTAGGGTTAGGGTTGTGGTTAGGTTAGGGTTAGGGTTAGGGTTAGGGTTAGGGTTAGGGTTAGGGTTAGGGTTAGGTTAGGTTAGGTTAGGTTAGGTTAGGTTAGGTTAGGGTTAGGTTAGGGTTAGGGTTAGGGTTAGGGGTTAGGGTTAGGGGTTAGGGTTAGGGTTAGGGTTAGGGTTAGGGTTAGGGTTAGGGTTAGGGTTAGGGTTAGGTTAGGATTAGGGTTAGGGTTAGGGTTAGGGTTAGGGTTAGGGTTAGGGTTAGGGTTAGGGTTAGGGTTAGGTTAGGGTTAGGGTTAGGGTTAGGGTTAGGGTTAGGGTTAGGTTAGGGTTAGGGTTAGGGTTATGGTTATGGTTAGGGTTAGGGTTAGGGTTAACTATTCAACTAGCTACATTGTTCCGGGACTTTTCAACTAGCTACTTTTTTCCGGAACTTTTCGACTGCACTCGGAATAAAACAACTAGTTGGAAAGTTCCATCGGAACGAAATAACTAGTTCAAAAGTTCCGCCGGAACAAAGTAAATGACGGACCATAGTGGCTGTTACACACTTAGTCTATTAAGATTTATTCCCACAAAATGGGGGAGGGGTTTGATTCGCCTTTCAACGCATGCACGTAGTCAATTAAAATATTTTCCCACAAAAAGGGGGAGGGGGCTTGATTCGCCGTTGAACGCATGCACTTAGTCAATTAAGATTGGAGTCAAAAGCACATAACACCTGTTCTGTGTTGACATTATAGCTTGTGTTTATGTAGTTTATTGAATGTCTTGACGGCGATATTTTGGCATGAACCGCCACTGATATCTGTGTGCAGTACACGCAAAATGGTTGTTAGAGGTTTCAGAAACAAACAACAATCAGTACGCCTATGACATGAATTGGAGAAACAACCATTTTGCAAAATTTATCTTTTTCTTTACAGACCTGTCCTATATCTTTCTTTATTGTAGCTTGATGAAAGGCATGTGACATGGACTACTCTTATCGGGTTGTAGAAATCCATCAGTTGATTCATTTACATTAGAATAATCGTAATGATGAAGGAGATCTGTTATCCGCAATAATTATTGTTTGGCGGTGTTGCCTAGAAGTGAGAAATGAAAATTGCCACACGTTACAGCCACGAACGTGCAGGGAGTAAAGAACCAGATCTCCTGTAATATATTTAGGTTAATTTCGCTGCATTTTATATATATATGATATTTTTAAATTGAAATTGAAGATGATGTATAACAGCTTGTCGTCCAGTGGCAGGTTATATATCTATTATATATATACTTAGCAATTATGAATGTGATATATATATATATATATATATATATTTGTATCAATCTGATGCGTTACGCCTTTTTCAACAGATTTTTATATTTCGTTCTTATATCCCAAGTCAGGAGCCTGCAATTCAGTGGTTGTCGTTTGTTGCTGTGTTACATATTTGTTTTTCGTTCATTTTTTTGTGTGTACATTAATCAGTTCGTTTTCTCGTTTGGGATGCAGTTTGGTCTTTGTTCGTTGAAGGTCGTATGGTGACATATAGCTGTTAATATCTATGTCATTTGGTCTCTTGCGAAGAGTTGTCTCATTGACAACCATACCACGTTTTCTTTTTTTTATGTGAATCAAAATAAAACTTTCATATTCGCATTCGTATGAATGACCCAATGATTTCTCTTTTGTTTTGACCCAATAATTTCCCAAATTCTTTAGAACATTATTAAAGCAGTCTATCCATCATATTAATTAGTTCTTGACCAGAATATGCATTTGGGTATTTGATAATGGCATTTAAAAAGCCACAAGAACGTCCTATCGTCTAAAATGTGTTCTTCTCACTGATGTTGTTCACCATCCAGAGCTTGGCTTACTTAATGCAGATGACCAGTCCCAGACTTTTGACTACTGGCTTATACGTATCTTAAGATACATTAAGTGTATACTACCATCTTGGATTCAGAAATATAGCAGTACACAATCGGACTAGTTCATTGCATAAATCTACAAGTTATGAGACATGTTGGCAATTTTTGTGTAAGACTGTGTATTGAACGGAATAAACTTGATTGGCGAATTGCATTATTTAGTCTGTTTTATCAAATACCAAATATTTGTGTTTTGCCAATGCATTTTTTTAAATAAGCCATATACGGGGAGATAACTCTTTTAGTAAATTTGTTGTGAGATGAAAAATTTTGCTCCATGATTAAGGCATCTCTGTGAATTTGAGATGACAAACAGAAATAAAAGTGATGTTCCTTCGATTCACTGATGGCTTATTACATGTGCTTATAGTGATTTTGTAACATGATTTGAAACTCAATACTATATTTTTTTCATCAGGTTTTGACTGCTAGGTTATGCATTGGTCATCAACAGTTTAAATTGTCAGAGAAATGATGAAAATGGCCCTTTGTGCTGACCATGAAGAATGGAGTTTGCTCATTGATGAAGACTGTACAGTGCCCTATAGTTGTTTATTTCTCTCTTGTGGAGAGTTGTTTTAATGGCAATCATATACCACATCTTATTTTTATACTAAATGGATTCTCCAGTCATAAATTGCATTGTAAAGTGTTTTTCACACTTTTCAGGGAATATACAAAACATATTGTCATTGGTATACAATAGTTGAAAAAGACATTAATGATCCATGACTTTAGTGTGACAGAATGGCTGCAAATTTATAATTAGAGGGGACCTAGCTATGCTGAGAAGCATTGCTTTAGTTGTAGTTTTGAGAAACAGAAACAGTGTATGATGCAAGTAAATATATTTATTAAAGAAATTGTACATTTAATTTATGTATACAGTGTTTTTTTTTGGGGTTTACATAAAGGCTCATTGAATAAAAAATTATTATGCATCCAATAAGAAACAATTTCGTTGCTTACAGTTTCTCTCTGTCTCTCTTTAACAAAAGTAATTTTTCAATACAATAGCCTTAAACTCTTATTTTCATTAATTAATATGTATTGCAGTTAAGAATATAAAATTCAGCTTGTGGTAAAACAAAATGCAAGTTACAACATGTATACAACAAATATTATACCAATCAGTTGATGAACTTCTGAGATCCAATTTTTGTAGTTCTCAATTTTGCTCCTGACACATTCACTCCATCTTAAGCAAAAACCTTTATTTCCAATACAATGTTTTGAAACTGTTAAGATTATTAGTTAATCTTTGTTGTTGTATAGTATAAAAAACTCAGCTTCTTTATTGCTGTGTTACAAACAAAATGCAAATTACAGCATAATATACAACAAACAACAAATCTTATAACAATAAGTTTATCAAGAGTCACTTGTCCTCAGTTCCATTGATGATTTAGAAAAGGAACCTAAATTTTGTAATTTGAGGGCTTGAGTATGTATTGTAACTTTTTTTTGTAAGTACAACTCATAAAGTCAGCTTTTTTAGAAATAATTTCAGAGAAGTAACTTTTTTTTCATTTTTATTTCTTTTGGAAAAAGAAATGAAATTCATCTTCTATATCATATTATAATATTTAGAAATTCTTGCTTTAATAACATTTCTATAGATTCAATTTCCTTTATAGTTTTGCATGACAATTAATTTTCAGAATCATAATATCTTTGAAATATATATACCATGAATATACATTCTGTGCATCTAACATCTTAAAGATTTCAAACAATTCCTTTTAATAGCCAAATAATAACTTTAGTATGTAGCCTAGAATAAATTATAAGTCCACAGAACATGCATATATTTTTTGATATTTTTTATGCAAATATTTATTAATCAAAGCTTTCAAAATAAAAAAAAAGTGTTGAATATTATTTGTTTTTTCCTGAAACAAAACTGATAGACCAAACACCGACTTACATAAACGTTTTTAGCCTATTATTCAGGATACTACTAAATATTTTAGATAGACAGTTGTTTTTAGAAATACTTCTGTAGATATCGATTCCAGAATGAAATTTTATATAATCATAAAAGATGAATTCCAATGTTTTGGATATTAAATAACCATTTTTAAATTAGATTAAAAAGTTGAAATTCTCATTAAAGAGTGATGATTTGATGAGGAATCATCCGACATACTTTGCAAGCACATTTACCTCTGTTAAATTTTGTATTTTCTTATTGTTTAAAGCTGTTTTTTGTTTAAATACATTGAAAATAAGAAAATCACAGTAATTTTATTATAATATCCAAAAAAGTATGCCCAGAAGGAACGCTAAGAGAAAGACAGTTTTAGAGGTCCTCCATGTCTTCTTCATCACTACTCTCTTCCTCATCATCACTTTCAATGTCCTCAACTGATATCTCCTCCTTTATAGCCATTTCTTTCAACATTTGTTGCATCCTTTCATGATCATCAGTCAATATGCTATCAGTTAACTGAGATTCAACAGACACTTCCCCAATGTACTCTGAAAACTGCCTGTTTAATCTTATAATAACCATTTCATAGTACATTCCTTCTTTTATTAAGAATGCAGTTTCTCCTGCAGTTCGATGTTCCCCTAGTTTTACTTTCACAATATTGTACTGATGTTTGTACCAATTAGTGACAGACCTCATTTCTTGCTTGAGCAAAGTTTGTTCTTCGATGGCTCGATCAATGAGGCATTTCAGTTGAATAATTTCCTGTTTTATTGTGTTTGGAATATCTGACACAACCTCCAAATCTACCATGCATTTATAAATTTCACTGTCAATGTCCTTGACAGTATCAAAAGTGATCTGCTCTGGTAAACCTTCAGAGGAATCCCCAATCATGTTGTAAGCTGCAATGGATTTGTGAATTTTTTTTGATATGCACTTTAACTGTTTTGACAGTTTAATGAAAACAGCCTGTCCTTCTGAAATATCAATAAAATGTACAATATTATAGTATTATATAGTGTTATACATATGAGATAAGTAAACAGTGCTAACACATCTTTCATAGAGGAATTGGATGTCAACAAGAAATAATGTTTAAATATTTATTCTAATATGACGCGCTAGTTCGCTTTGTAAACAACACCGTGATAAAATTCTCAATATATCTATACTTAGCGCAAACTCCGAGATATACATAATAATGGATGTTACAATATACCTCCCATGTAAATCAACATGTATCGAAACCTATTTGCAAACGCTATGCAGATTTTTTTTTAAAAATTGCAATTAAAAAAAAGACTACAGAACTTTTATTCTTATTCGGATGCATAACAAAAAGAATAAATGCACAAGTGCTCGGTGAAATCCACAAAATCCAAATAAAATAAAATTCCGCGAAAGTCCACTAATGCTTTTGGCTCCTTAGTAAGGAAATGTCAACTTTGGATTACGAGAAAAACATGTAATCAAAAATGGTAAATGTTGGGTTTGAAAATTAAAAGAATTAAGAACAATTTTTCTAGCTGTTATTCACGAAATATTTATGCAAGCTACAGATTTATTAGAATTTTTTAGCTTTATCTAAAATGGAGTAAAAAAGAACAGCCCCACATACGGCATACCCACTCTCGCTTCAGTTTTTTAATGACCGTATTTGTCCTCTTAGAATCAAAATAATTCATGGAAGCCATAGATTTGTTGGAAATTTACACATGGCCTGGGCCGTGATATTCGTTAATTTTATCCCTCACTAATGCTCAGGATAAAATTCGAATATCACGGCCCAGGCCATGTGTAAATTTCCAACAAATCTATGGCTTCCATGAATTATTTCTTAAATAATGTCATGGTCAGTATATGCATTCAGTTTCGATGGAAGTTGAAGACCAATGAATTTTAAAGGAATCAATCACACAGTAAAGCCTGCTAACATTATTGTTGATTCTAAATTTAAGGGTGTTATGAAGTGTTTTAATTCTTTGTATTGAGAAAAATCTTATTTCAATTTTCATAAATTGTCGTTATGCAAAAAATATCATAAAGTTATGTTAGCTCAAAGAAGGCAAGTTCAACATAGATTATTAAATATTGTTTTAATTGGTACTGATATTGATTTTGTTATCAGTAAATTAAAAGCAAACTAAATATTATTGTTATTTACATATACACATTTATGGATCTACAATCTGTCGATACCTGTATCTTGGCATTGCACAAGGTCATGTTTTTCTCTGACTGTTTATGATGTCTTAACACTAAATCCATTGGATGTTGGATGTGTACGGATTGATAATTTAGTCTTAGATGCATAATATTTTTTTTTTATTAGTTGTTAGTGGCTTTGAACTAGCTGTCAGTAACTGCGAGTACTCTCAGATCTGTACTTAGTGTCTTTTTGTTGTTTGGATGTACAAGTACCCGGCCATGCCCACTTGTATTTGTAGTATTTGTATTTTTATCCATCTGATGAGTTTAGCCTCTTTCAACTGATTTTTATAGTTCGTTCTTATGTTGTACTGTTACACCACTGTTCCAGGTTAGGGGAGGGTTGGGATCCCGCTAACATGTTAAACCCAGCCACATTCTGTATGTATGTGCCTGTCCCAAGTCAGGAGCCTGTAATTCAGTGGTTGTCGTTTGTTTATGTGTTACATATTTGTTTTTCGTTCATTTTTTGTACATAAATTAGGCCGTTAGTTTTCTCATTTGAATTGTTTTACATTGTCATTTCGGGGCCTTTTATAGCTGACTGTGCGGTATGGGCTTCGCTCATTGTTGAAGGCCATACGGTGACCTATAGTTGTTAATTTCTGTGTCATTTGGTGTCTTGTGGGGAGTTGTCTCATTGGCAATCATACCACATCTTCTTTTTTATAAGTATGGAATGAAAAAGTGCATTACACGAGGAAGCCTGCATGATAAAAATTTCTGGAAGATCTGATTTGCAGTTCTACCGAAAAATGTTACTAAAATTTCATACATGGCCATTATTTGTAAAATAAAGCATAGTAAGTTCAGTAAACATGAAGTTGTTAGAGATAAATGAAAAAAGCATCACAGGATTGAGCATGCTTACATAAAGGAAGTTTTAGATTCCCTTCCCTTCGTTCTATGGGTAATAAAACTTTGCTTACTTGAATATTTGCGCAATAACCGTAGTAAATAGTGCCTCTCTGAAACATGTTTCTTCAGGGTTACAAGTTGTAATTTTTTTTGTTTTTCTTTCACAATCTTTACATCCTTCTTATAGTTTTCGTCAGTTTGATGCAATCTAGAGGTCTTGTTCTTTTTTTCAAATGTTGATAAGGTTTTCTCTAGTCTGTAAAGATATTTGAATAAAAAATTTATACATCAAAATGTTTAGTTATTTTTATATATTGTTATATATGCCTTTCAAAACAACTTTTTAACATAATCAGCAGTCATTTCACGGAATTTCCAGGCAAAACTCTGCTCATGAGATCACAAGTGAGTAGTAAGACTCAACTGATCGGCAAAACAAGCCTGACTTTCCATGTATGTACTTTATATTGGGT